TACTCGAGAATTGGTTTATTTATATTATCAAACAATGTTCTTTAATTACGAATAAATAATATAAAGCACAAAAATTCGAAAGTACATATAAGCTTTTAGTCTTCATATAGGATATGTTAGAGATTTGGGTAAAAATAAAGTAGACATTTGAGTATAATAGTTTATTCCACTTTCATATCAATGCCACTAACTAGCAAACTAACATTTATTAATATTATATCAGAATAGAGGTGAATCTCTATCGTTGTTACGCACGCGCGAAGTCAGCCTGGACTTGGAAACATCGATTCATTGCACGAATCATCCTAATTCGACTCTATTTTATCTTGGATCTCCGAGAATGCGCTCTTATTTTCATTTACTTTTTATTCTCCATTTTTTTTTTTTTTTTTTTTTTTTTTTTTTTTTTTTAATGCGCGTCCCCTTATACTCATTCGTACGCATTTGCTTCATTTAGTTTAATTAAAACTGAGTACCTCGTCGATATCGTTTATAGTTTTACTTTACACGTGATCACTAACATTATACACAAGCGGATGTTGCACTCGAACGAAGTGCATACAAGTGACGAGAATGTTATGTACATAAAAATACTGATCCGCTTGGATCAGACATTTTCGCGTAGCTCTCGTTCGATTGCTTTCTATCCTCGACAAAGTTATAAACAAACAGATGGACAATGTTTACCTTTCTCTCTTTCAATCTTTCCATTATTATTATTATTATTATTATTATTATCATTATCATTATTATTATTATTATTCGTACTCGTTGCGGAGTGGAATATCGATATAAAAATGTCATCGTTCTAATGCAGTCTACGCTTTACGAAAGGAAGAAAGAAAAGAGTAACTCTCATTATCTATCCTCCTCTTTTGTTATACTGTATACGAAATCGCCAAACTCGCGTTGATAACAAGCTTGACTCGATTAAAGAGAAATCACACGCGCAAAATTACGAACTGTTTGCTTTATAAACTTGTTTTGGTGATATATAAATAATTATCGAACCCCGTGAAACGCCGTAAATATATACATGATATTTGATAAAATTTGCATTTTACTGGGCTGTTCACGTGGCCAACCATTTCATTTGTTATCGAGTATAAAACAATTAATTCTATTTTATTCATGGATTCTTCAGTATTAAAAAAGCTAAGTCGTCTTATTCAGAACCAGTTTATGTTACATTCAAGCAACATTCAACCCACAATCGCGCATATGAAAATCGGATCATTTCGAGGAATAATTAATGAAAGAGACGTTCGATTTAGAAATTTTAGCTCGCTATTTTTAATAATTTAAATGCACGTTTCGAAATTTCTAAATCTATTGGCATTAAGTGACAAACTGGTACTGATACGATGACTTTCATCACTGGCAAAGTCCGACTTTACATTTCAGCGTAAATAGATGAGCATCACGTAATAATTGCGGAGAAAGTATGAAACACGGATTTATGGTAACAGAAATTCCTTACATATGCGTGTCAGGGGTATTTATTCATTTATTACGCGCAACATTCGTCCTCGCGATATTTTTCTTCTTTCAAACGAAACAAGGAACAACATATAGGTGCATTTGTAATATCGGCAGCTCTATGAGAAATCGCGCGAGGTACGCGAGTCGCGATTTTTCTAATAAAAACTCGGGTAATAGCAGCAGCAGCAGCAGCAGCAGCAGCAGCAGCAGCAGCAGCAGCACGAGCAGCAGCATCAACAGCAGCAGTAATAGTAGTAGAAGTGTAAAAAACTTCAGGCCTGAGGTATTTACAACACTTTTTTTCCGTTTTCTTTATTTTTCGTTATTTCTATCTGTTATTCGCCATTTCGACGCGACAGATTGTTTTTACGGAAATATGACCTGTACAGCATCGCATCATCGAGACTCCCGTCTTACTTCATTTTTCTCCTCTCGTTTGCTTCATCCAATAGTAGTCTCATTCAAGTGGTCACTACAGTCAAATCTTAATTAAGCCGCGCAGACCGTAAATTAATTATTCTCTTAATTATAAATTTCATGTGTTCGCTATAGACTGCGAGCTGGCCCTCTAACACTTCGAATTTAACAATTATTAAGATACACTTTATATCTTACAGACACCTACAGTTTATAATCGAACGACTACACGCGCAGAGTCACTTATTTACAAAGTGGATTAGTCCGCCTTGTGTGTTAAAACTCTATCGCTTATATAAAAATAACGTGGAAGCATGAAGAATGTCTTAAAAAGTCAGTACGTTATTTAGTGATTTTTATCGACGGGCTTTTCTCGATCGACTCTCTTTATTCGCTGGTGAAAAACCTACATATACTCATTCCTTTTGTGGCGAAATTCACAAATTTTGAACATTTACGCCAGTTTTATTTATTCATATTTAATTAAAAAATTATAATTCCCGATAAACGGTATTAACTTTCCTAATTAATTCCGTCGTTATTTCCTTCCTCATCGTCCTGCTCTCGTTTACTCTGTCTAATTATTTTCTTTTTATATTTTATCTAACAGTTAACGCCTCGATCATCTCTGAAAATTTACGGACACACGCATACGCACACAACTCTCATTATTTGTTGATTGTATAAAAAAAGTGTTTTGCAGAGGAGCAAAAAGAGAAGGCGAGAATATGAATAAAAAAATCCGTCGTTCCACGATGATCACATATGTGAGTGTACAGAAAAAACAAAAATTATATTTATTTATTTACAGTTAAACTTGATTTCTTTTATTTTTTTTTCATTTTTTTTTGTGCCTTGTTTGTTTTTATTTTTTTGTTTTTTTTTTGTTGTTGTTGTTTTGTTTAGTAAGTGGCCCCTAACGTATTTGACTCATTTACCCGTCGTACTTACAAAATCTGCGTGTATACACAAATTTCGTTGACTACTAAATTTTTATTTCATTCGCTTCAATTAAAATTGTCTACATTATCATACAATTTTCGATGCAATGATGTAGATCTAATTTTTAAAATTAATTATAAGTATGATGTAAATGAAGTATTTTACTATCAAAAAGTTAATACTATTTACGAATAAAAATATTATTCATTTTTCTTCTTAAAATGTCAATCGTTACGTTAGCGAGTGCCATTAATTATATTCTTTAAATAGGATTCGTACCTTAAAAATATTGAAATTATTTTTTTGTTTGTTTTGTTTTGTTTTGTTTTGTTTTATATTAAAGGATTTACAGATTGATCTGTACTACTGGATACATTGTCACGATAAAACTTTTGTACAAACAATAAGATCTTTAGATCGTTCAATTAGCACAGATTCATTTAAGTATATAAACGAAGTCAACGCTTGTTGCGTTAAAATATATATATATATATATATATATATATATATATGTAGATATAGGATGATCATATGAGCTTGGATAGAGCTTAAATAAAATTTCGTAATTTCGTAAGTACGCTTCCCAGTGGGATTTGAATGTTCTTGATTATTCTATGGAGATTGCAGTCGGAATAGTGTATTAGGCATCGATTGGGCGTCGATTCAGCAATAATTAGAACGTACTTTGAATAAAAAATTTTTGCGCTTTTTCTAGTTAGTCTCGCCCCTTCTTTCATATAGGTAATTTAGTTTAAAGTAGACATTTACGTAAATATTAATTATTTAAAAAATATTTTGCAGCAATAAATGGCAATTTCTCCATCCCTTTGATATAGTAGGCACTTTTACCTAAATTTGATTCAATTCGAAAGTTGAGACAAGGAGAAAAGAAAAGAAAAGAAAAGAAAAAAAGTCGGTAACGCGCGAACTTTGCTTATACAGTGAAAGGACTCTGTGATGTTGAAATAAATATAAATGTCGAAGTTTATTACAAAAGCGTAATGACAATAGGGCTATCAGATATATGAGCTATCAATGAATAGCTGAGAGCACCAAAATCTATATGAATATAAAGGAGTTCATTAGTGACTTAAACTCAGTAAAGTAAACATTATTGACTTAAACTCAGCTCTACTGTGCGTAAGGCTCGTCTCCGATAGATTTATAATATAACAATTAGACTATTATAGAAAAAACACGCCAGAGTCCGATCGTTAATTGAATCCTTACATAATTGATGATTTAAAAAACTTATTGTAATTTTTTCAAGATAATTTTCAATAGAACATCAAGTATTCGAGATAAAAATTGATGAGTATCTCGAAAATTAATAATACATTAAGCAATAAAAATTCTTCGAAGCTCCAATAAATTTTTTAAAGCTATTTAGGAAATAACAGATTAATTAGAAAAGACGGTAAAACTATTTCCGTTAATGAAGTGTATACGTAATGAAAATTCCACCCTTAAAAGCAACGATAAGAAAGAAGCTGAGGGAAAAGCATTTATCTTGAGCGTCGAAGGATGAAAGAATCTACGGTCGGAAGAGTCGGGCCCTTGACATTCTCATTTTCGTCATTACTGCCTAAGTACCTAATTACTTACAACTTAGGAATTTATCGTTTATTATATTTCGTGTGAATTAAATACTAGCTCGTCGTGGTATTTTCTCTTGTCCTCTAAAATTCATCTTCTCTCTTTTCCTCTCTCTCTCTCTCACACACACACACACGCACGCACGCACACACGAACACGCGCGCGCGCGCGCACACACACACACACACACATTCTCTCTCGCTCGCTCTCATACAGCTTCGCACGCATTTATTTTGTAATTTAACATGTCCTCCTAATTCTCATCTTCAAAATAAAAATACTCCTGACTCATGCCTCAACACATACTACATTGATCGTTTTCAGGCACACTGTGCATGTATAAGACCTTTGGTCGAAGCGCGAGACAAATACCATATACGTGAAACGGTGCGTCTTTTAAGATAAGTCCGTTTGCGCATTCGTCTCTCTTCCCATTCGTCGACGAGAGAAACGAACCCTACATGACGTCGTCATCGCGCGTCGACGCGCTGATCGAAGATCGTTAAAAGAATGATTAAAAAATACAAAAAAAAAAAAAAAACATTTAAATTTGTTGTATATACTAATGTTGGCAAATGAACATAAACGACGTACGATTCGCGAGTTTATTTCCGCATTGTTGAACTTCTACGTAAATTTTCTTATTAATCTTAACAGAAAAAACATTTTAGAAATTACCCGAATCAGAGCTTTCTGAATATAGTATGGGCTATAAAATTGGCATGAGATTTCATAGGAGTTCTTCGAGTTCTCGCGCGAGCTTGCTCATGTCGCATAACGCTTGGTCCATAAGCGTGCTATACGGTCGTGTTCCTCTCTGTTTTGTAGATATTGCGTCGCTATACTACCCACCAGGGGATCAGCTGTAACATAAAGGAAGATATATATATATATACGTAGTGAGTGCTTTCATGGCAGCATATTTTCACGAAATAATAGTTAAATGTGTATGGAATAGTTGCAGATGCACAGACATTCATAGTTAGAGCGATAAAATGTGTCAGGCTAATACATTCGTCGATTCCTTGATAATGTACATGGCTTACTTATTGGGCTTAATTTATTCAATGTTTACGTCATAATTTGTTAATAAATTTTACATTTCAATATCACAATTCATGAAAATTCAAATTTAATGATTCTGTATAATAATAGTCCATTATACGTATAATAGCACTACTATATTATTACTTATAATACTACTAATATGATATACGTAATAATAGTCAATTATACGTACGCACATGAAAAAGGATGTTAAGTGCAAATTATTATTCATTTTCAAACATTTTCCATTAAATCTTTTTTTTTTTTAATTTCAAGCAAATAAGCCATTAATTTTATTTCTGCCCTTTCTAAACAATTAAGCTTTATGATATTGCACAACACTAAGAAATATTAAATATTTTCAAGATACATTTTCAAGACATATTTAATTCAAATTAAATCTAGATTAAGATTGTTCATACTGTATTTCATTAATTCTTTATTTAATTAATATTACAATCCAATCTCTTATGAAGAACGTACGCACTTTAATAAAATTAGTGTTAAAAATAAACAGCAAAATATTTATATATCCTATACGATTTTTTGTTTAATCTACAATAATTGGTTAAAAGGCAATATTTTCTTCTTCTTTATCTTATCAATATTTGTTTCTTAAAGATTTAAACAACGCAACACGATGCTGCTTAAATCTATATAATATAATCCATTAATATAAGCAATAGTTTATCAATTATTTTTATCAATCTTTATAAGCCCATACTCTTATAGGATTTTTTAATATATAATTGTAAAAAACTTGATTGTTACTGTACATAAATATTGAAAATTATATAAAAAGCTCTTGACTTACCCGGATTACAGTCTGTTAGAAGAGAACAAATGGACAGCAAAACTTTTGATATAGTCAATGCTGGTGACCAATTGTCCTTAAGAATATCTAAACATATAACACCTTGACTGTTTATATTGCAATGGTAAATACGCGTTCGAAACGTCACCTAGAATAAAGATAAAATTTTTTTGCAATAGGATTCATTGATTAAGTAACATTAAGCCATTTATCAAAATTATTCATCTACCTTTGGTGGCTTAAATGGATATTCTGGAGAGAAATGTATATCCAAAAAAAATACGCCACCTTCGTACACTGATCCAGGAGGACCCAAAATTGTTGAAACCCATTCGTATAAATTATCACCCTTAGGTCCAGCACTAGGAGACAATATATTATTAATAAATATAAAAACACAAATATATATATATATATTAATTTACATTTAATCATAATTCTTAATTTCTTTCAAACCCTTCACCATAAAATATCAAGTGAATATTTATTATATTTATTATAGTATTTATTAACGAAGAAAAGAAAAATTCTAAATTGTAAATTTCTGTTCCATTAGGGACAAATAAATCTTACGTTCTATATATGAATATTTAAAATTAAAAATATAATATCCAAGGAAAATTATTAACCTGCAATTTGGAGGTGGATCTAAAGTAATTTCTGCTAATTCTTTTTGTATCCTGTAAAACAATTATTATTATTTAACATTATTTCATATAACCGATACAAATTATCTTGCATTCTGACTTGCATATAATTTTTTGTATTATGTACATGTTTTGTAAAAGAGTTACCTTTTTGCAGAGGTTCCTAATGCCTTAGACATCTTTGGATTAGGTTTCGCCTCTTTATTTTCTGGTTTGTTGTCGGCTAATGATGATCCACGGCCTCTGCCGGTTCCACTAGACCCAGCCCCTGACGACATACTTCTAAACAAAAATTAAAACAATCTATTGTCACAACTATAAAGGACTAACAATTATAAAATAACCTCAAAACTTTAACTTGAGATTATGCTTTGTAAACAAAATTAATATAAATAAACAAAGTTTATGGATATAGAACTTCTTATTACGAATCGATAAGTATACATTTAACAATTAAAATAAAAGAACCTTAATTATTTTTAATAATACAATGTATCTGAATATATTGGAAGCCTAAATTATGAGCAAATTACTTTCATTTGGACTACATTAATACAATATGTTTGACAATATGTTAATTATTAATAAGTATCTTACTAAATTGTCATGAAAATTTCATTACAATAGATGTGTATTAAAGCATTTGACCATTATCATGATCGCAGGCGTTTAATTAAAAAAAGTGACCTAGGGTGCATTGAAAAACTTTGCAATCCATCAAATATAATAATTAATTATACCTAAGAAACAACTCAAACAGTATAAATATCAATGGAAGCAAAAATACTTTGATTGGAATGATTTAAATAACTTACATATCATTAAAATTGTACTCCTAAAACTAGATTATTTATTTCAATCAACACATTATGAAACAAAAACTTATAATTAATAAGATAAAGATGCGTCACTCTTCTTGATTAATATGATATGTAAAAATAAAAAAAAAAAACCAATTATCCAATGGTTAATAAAAAAAAAATAATTCCAAAATTAATTACAGAATATTATAATTCATTTATAATAAAGAGTTAAGAGCTATATTAATTAAAAGAAAAATATCAATTAAAAATCCATCGATTGTTCAAACTCTGAGTTTATGGTTAAAATATCCTAATCTGATCAATCAAATTTCATCAATTTATTAAAAAAAAATCATGTTTGTAGACAAATCAATCAAATTTAATCAACACCAAGTATAGCCACATTATGGATGAGAGTATTGTAAAAGTGGCCTCTAGCTTTTTTAACTCCAAGAATGAAGTAAGTCGCGAGACAAATCGAGTGCAGTAGAAATGAAAGGTGAAAATACTTAGTTCCACCGCGAACCGAAATTTCTAAGGCTTTTAGAAAGCCAACGTTAGTAAGGAATATCAAAACTTGTTCCTCTGTAAACACTCAATTGAGGGTATCCAGAAACGGCGTAACTCTCGATAGAAACGTCTCTTTGGCACAAAACGAAATAAGAGAATGAAACTGACTGAAGAGAAACGATAACGATAACGATAACGATAACGATAATGAGGACGAGGACGAGGACGAGGACGAGGACGATGACGAAGACGAAGACGAAGACGTGGACGACACCGAACTACATCGCATTGCACCTCACCGCACCGCATCGCATCGCATCACATCGCATCGCATCGCACCGCACCGCACCGCACCGTACCGCACCGCACCACACCGCACCGCACCGACATGCATGCATACATACGCGTTTTGGGTTATTGCAATCCGTACGATTCGCCAAGTGCTAACCCGGTTGTAATGAAAATAAAATGTCATTTTACCGAGGGCGCTGAACCGCGACCAGCGCGAGAAAAGAGATCTCTATCTTTGCTACACTTTAGGGCGCGCGTGTGCACGATATGCATATATATATATATATATATGTGTGTGTTCATGCATGCATTCATATATATCAAAGATAATCACGCACGTACTCTCGCACTCTCTCTCTCTCTCTCGGCACTTCTCTTATTACAGGCTAAGGCGCCGCGGTGTAATCGACGTCCTCCCTGAACACGCGTTGCACCTTTCGCTCCAGCTCGGCTTTTGCCCAGACGAATAACCACCAGCGAGCGAGCGAGCGCCACACGAAGTGAGAGAAACGACTCTCCCGAAAGAGAGAAAGATGGAGAACACGTATGTGTAGGCGCAGAAAATGAAATAGCAGGTATAAAGGTTTAATATATAGATATGCCCTAGAGTGTGGAGACAGAGTGCGAGCGAGAGAGGGACAGCTGCCAGCGTTGGAGGGCGGGAGGGATATAGCGTGCGAGAGAGCGAGAGATAGATAGAGAGTAAGTAGGAGTACATGCGATGTAGCGAGATGTGGGAGCGAGGGTGGGACGATAGGAGGAAGAAGGGCAGAAGAGAAACAGCCCGAGCCTAAACAATGGAAGATACGAAAAGAGGTAGAAGGGTTAATAAAAAAGAGATAAATAGCGCGGAGGAGTTTTGCGAAAACCCACGTACCTCTGTATCGTGCGTGTTGTCAATGATGTACGTTCACTATATGCTAAACACACGCCCCTGGTATATAAGAGTTTTACCTCCGTGCCCCGGAGTGTCGAGAGGACGAGGACGCACGTCCGATTTTCGCGCACACACTCCTCTTCGTTCCTCTCGCTCGCCTGTATAATATATATTTTATGATAGACGACGCGAGTAAAGGAGAAGGGGAGCCGGCGCTCCGGTAGCTTTAACGTGTGCCTGCCTCCCTGCCTTTTTTTTTTTTCCCCCGATATCTCTTTTTTTTTTGCACTATTTGCCGCGGAGGCACGTTCAACGACACAGAATAAATAGGTTGTTAGCGAGTTGTGCAATCTTCTCTTGTTTGAAGCTTCTGCTCCTCGACCCACTCCTTTTCTCTTTTAGCTTTCACGGGAAGTTAACCGGTGTGTGTCTCGCACGTACGTATGACTGTATGTCATGTACGTTCGTCCCTCTGTCTCTCTCGCTCACTCTTGCCGAGAGTGAATCGACGGTCAGGGAGATGGTCAATGATTGTCAACGGTCGGTCAGGTTTTAAAGTAACAACAACCCAATGCAAGTCTCTTTAAGCTTGGATTTCCAAGGCAATTCCCATTTGGCTCGTACAATTAATCCTAACATCGCTTTTCTCTTTAAATTTAGCTTTATGGGTATTTGCGAGACAAAGGCCAGACTTTGACGGTCATCGCGTGCATGCGCGCGCCACCTTTTAACATAACAGCCTCCCACAATTTTCTTCCAAAACTATTCGATTGTACCTGTAATTTAATTAAACAAAAAAATCAACCGCAGCTCCGGGCCTTAGTAATTCGTCTTATAATACCCTACAAGTTGTGCTGCAACACCGGTTTCCACTACCGGAGCAAGCTCTGAAATTTGAATCTCCCACCACTTTTTATAAATTTACACAGAGATAGAGAGAGAGAGAGAGAGAGAGAGAGAGAGAGAGTGCGTGCGTACGAGGTAAAGAGAGATAAAGATAGAATGATAGAGAGCTAGAGAGAGAGAGAGAGAGAGAGAGAGAGAGAGAACAAGAACCCGGAAGAAATACCGGTAAACATCCTTCTTCCTTGTCTCTCCCCTTATTTCCGTGTATGCGTGTTACCGAGTTTTTCAAGTCGAGGCAATTGCATCGAGCACTTCCTCGTTGTCTTATAATAAAGAGATGCAGTCCGCACTTACGATATGTTCTATTCTTTCTAACACTTTGTCCGGATGCGAATCATCCGTCCTCCACTGATTTTGGTCGAACTCTTCGCGGGGGGTCGTCGTCGGCTCGATTCACTCCCTGGCTCCGTCTCTTTCTTTCGTGATTCCCTATGAAAAAAAATTACGATTGCGCATCTCTGCGGCGTTACCGGATGCACTGCATCGTCCTACGGCCGTCAGCAGCGCCACCGGAAGCTTTGTGACGAGCTGACGCCTAGAAACGCGCATGCGCCTTGCCGAATGACGGGACAATGTTTTCAACTTATGTCAGATGTACATTTAACTTCGCCTTTAGCTATGTTTTATGTTGTATAGTGTCGTCTAGCCGATCAGAGCTTGGTTCATTCGTTTCTTACAGATTTTAAATCTACATTTCGTCATCTTTGGATTTAACAAGCCGCCAAGATGGGGAAACGTCAACATCAAAAGGATAAAATGTGAGTTCTTGTTACATGTTTATCATTAACTGCATAACGATGTTTATTTTTACCAATTTAGGATTATTTTTAATTAATTTTATCTCGATCTTGTATTAGCACAAAGTATAATTTTCAAAATAATAATTATAGTAAGGATATCGAATAAACAAAGTCGTGCGTTCTTATGATTGGTAACAATCGCACTGAATTATCCTGAGCAGGATGTAAATTTCTTGTCGTTACTAAGGGTTTCGATGATTAAACAATTATAATCTTATTATATAGTAAACATTATGAGAGAGTGATTTATATTTCTTGAATGTTTATTTGTATATTAAACATTATGTAATCGTAATGGTTTCTATAAGAAAGAGCAAACTAAACGTATATTAAAACGTTACGTATACTAAAATACAGTTACACCTGTGATTAAATTAAATTATAAAACAACTGTAAATATATGTAGTGCTTTTCTAGATAATACAAGTAAAAGAAATAACATGGCAAAATTTTATAAATTAATGAATTTATTATAATATACTGCGTTTCATAAGTGTCGTTAATTTACTAGTTTGTGAAAGAAAATCTTGAAAATTGCATTCAAAGTATTTTTAATATAATTGTATATATTTCATAAAAAAAGATTTGATTTTTTGATAAAGTTAACAATATATAATATAAATGTACTATTGCATAGAATCATCAAAGTTATGATTTTCTTTCATTTTAGGTATCTTACATACACAGAATGGACAACATTGTATGGTGGAAAAATGTCTGGCACTTCGTCAGAAACCAGTGAAGATACAACATTCCGTCGTTTGCCATTTGATCATTGTTGCTTAAGTTTACAACCATTTGACCATCCTTACTGCGATGCTCAAGGAAATATATTTGAACTAGAGGCCTTGTTACCTTACGTTAAACATTTTAAACACAATCCTGTAACAGGAAAATCCTTGGATATGAAAAGCTTGACAAAGCTAAATTTTTTTAAAAATACAGACGGAGAATATCATTGCCCAGTATTATTTAAAATATTCTCTAAACATTCTCATATTGTAGCGGTCAAAACAACTGGCAATGTCTTTTCGTATGAAGTATTATAAATTTCCTCGTATATCCTATTATTTTTTATGTTAAACACACACGCGCGCGCGCGCGCACACACACACACACACACACACACACACGTATATATATATATTATATTATTTTTTAGGCAGTAGAACAGTTAAATATTAAAAATCGAAACTGGAAAGATTTAATTTCTGATGTGACATTTACTAGAAAGGATCTTATTACTATTCAAGATCCTAGTGATGCTAGAAAATTTAATCTATCTACATTTCATCATATAAAAAATAATCTTCGAGTGGAGGACGAAGGTAATTGTAGTTCCGTTGAATAATTTGAACAGATAATATTTTTTCAGAATGAGACAATAATATTTTATTTTCTAACCATCTCTGTTATTAGAAGTGACTAAAGAACGAAACAATCCAAATGCCAAGTTAAAAACAGTATCGATGGAAACAAAAGAAATTCTGAGCGAGCTAGAGCGTGATTACAAGCCAGTAGGAGTAACTAAAGCATTAGAAAAAGTTAAAGCAGATAAATTTAATGCGGTTAGAACAGTTTTTTTATTATGCATAAATATAAATGAAAACTGTAGACAATTGAAATCACTTAATTATATAATTACTAGGCACATTACTCAACTGGAGCTGCGGCTGCAGGTCTTACGTCAACAGTAATGCCAAGAGTAACCGTACTAGAAGCTGCTATTCTCGAGGAAGATGTTGTTCGCTACGAGAGAGTAAAGAAAAAAGGTAATAGTTGAGAATTTAAGTCATTTGAGTTTCGTACTATTATTTCATCATTGTGAAATTCTTTTAGGATACGTAAAGATTATTACAAATTTTGGTCCACTAAATTTGGAACTACATTGCGACATGGTACCGAAAACATGTGAAAATTTTATGAAACATTGCCAAAATGGTTATTACAATGGTACAAAATTTCACAGATCCATAAGAAATTTTATGGTACACGATTCACAGCCACTTAAATAGTTATAACAGTTTATTCGTTATTGTATTACAACATTTGCATTAAACATAACTTTCAACAGATACAAGGTGGAGATCCAACAAATACAGGAAACGGGGGAAAATCCATTTGGGATAAGCCTTTTGAAGATGAATTTAAGCCGAATCTCGTGCATCAAGGTAGGGGGATTCTCTCAATGGCAAATTCGGGAACAAATACAAATGGATCGCAATTGTAAGTGTCGATAAAGTCTGGATTAATAAGGATTAGGGATTCAAGGGAGTATTGTAATTTTAGTTTCATTACGTTTCGTTCTTGTCGACACTTGGACAACAAGCACACGGTTTTCGGGAAAATTGTCGGCGGTTTAGAAACGTTGAATGCAATTGAGAAAATCGAAGTCGATAATAAGGATAGGCCAATCGAAGATATTATAATTCAAGCTGTACAGATTTTTGTCGATCCTTACGACGAGGCCGACGAGCAATTAGCGGCGGAAAGAGCAGCTGAAACTGAAAGACTGGCCAAGGAGGCTTTAGAGAAAAATACTCCAAGAAAGAGAAGCGGAGAGCAGGCTTTAAAAATTTATCGTACAGGAATTGGAAAGTACCTGAACCCAGCTATCAAAGATGATAAGTGAGTTTCAAACGTTGAACAAGCAATTCTCATCCATTTCCTAAATCCCCATATTATGATAATAAATTTAGTGTTGTAAATGGAATGTCCATAATATTTATTAATTTCGTGAATGACGAATTATAATGATGAATTATAACTTATTGTAGATTGGAGGCGAAGGACACAACGTTCGAAATTGCAAAGAAGAAGAAAAAAGTCGTGTCAAATACTTTTAATTTTTCATCTTGGTAGCCGAGCTAAAAGCTCAAATTATAAAAATGTAAAAATTGTACATTACATTAGCTCGTAAATTATTTTATTAATAATTTGACATTGAAATATATCGTATTCATACAATATCAATCAGATGGTAAAATTTCCATTAATGTTAACCCACCATGCGCTCTCTGCGCCCTAAAAACTTACTCGCACCACGTAAACGTAACGTTACTTTGCGAATGGTGATGGGGAGGGAGGAGAAGGAGGAGATTGCAGCCAATCCTACGTGCGGTCGGCAGCCACCACGATTCCCCTCTACCTCAAAAGCAACAAATGCAAATAAAATAAAGTCGACGCAATGTCGACTATTGGAGTAAACTAGCGATGTTCCATGCCAGTCGCGCACAAAGTAACGAGGAACGCGCGCGTGAAAGTCGCGCATGCGATCTACCCACATGATGATCCGAGGCGCGCGATTCACCTGTTCACCGCTCGGCTTATACCCCCTTCTTTACGCCCAATCTTGTTCTCTCACCGATAAGACCATTTTTGGAAACGGCATTCGCCATCTCGCTCCGACAGGTCAGAGCAGCAAGATTTTTACAGTACCGCCAAGCGGAAATTCCACGACAGTCGACTCGGATTTCTCAACGGTCAGCCGTCTTGGAGATTCCTCCTACGGTGTCGTTTTGCGTGGAATTCCTCTCGGGCAAGTGCATCGTTCAAGTTAACCAAGTGTAAGCTAAGCACATTTTGTGAATATGGCGCTATCATGCATTAGTTTGGGCTCGACAATTTTTCCCGTCGTCTCTTCGAAGTGGGGAATTAATAGAGACGCTGATGCTCGATGCCCAAATATTTAGTAATAGACGTCAACACTTTGTCATTGGCAATTAATTACAATTCGCATATTCTTGTAATGCTTTGATCGCTAATATTGTTCTCCTTATTTGCTAATCTTTCAAACCTTATCATCTTTCTTTCTACTTCTCTCTTCTTCTTTTTTTCTCTTTTCTCTTTTATCATTATTTTTGATGCCAATCAAAAAGTAGAAATAGCATTCGGTAATTTGATTTAAACGATAATTTTATTTTTTAGTCTCATTGTATTTTTAATTAAAATTTTTAGATTTGAAAGTTTGTTTGCAAAACAGCATGATAAATTGTTAATTATGGCTAGAAAAAGCGACTAATATGTTCGTAAGAATATAAACGGGAAAGTATGCTAAGTAAGCCAATGAAACATGAAAAAATAAAAATCTTTTTTTAAACTAATATTGTATGTTAGATCGATGATTTCATTCAATAAAATAATTTTTTTTTTTTTTTTTTTTTTTTTTTTTTTTTTTTTTAATCCAAATTCAAGCGACGATGCTCGATAGAACAGTAATGTAAATTTTTAACTCCATGCGGTTTCATAAAACTGGCATTTACTTTAGCATAAGGAAAGATAATTTTCTAACCAATAATTACCTTCATAAATGTCAAGATTGCGCAATATATAAAAAAAAAAAAAAAGTATATAAATAAAAATCTGATTATAAAATACATAACCGACCAATTCCATCATTGTTTACTTATAATTACAGTATAGAATACTCATTTGGCAATTCCTAACGTCTATTCTATCAACGTTAACATTATTGCAAAAACGCATCTATGCAAATGGGTGTGATTCAACAAATCTCTAAACATTGATAAATTGATAATCGCTATTATGTTTATAGAACTTTTAAGATTAAGTTTATGATGACATTAGAGCAAGGGAGCGAACATTCAGACAGCTACATTCGTGTATGGAATTATATAAAAGTTGAAATCATTATTGAAGGTGTAAAAAATGTAGTTAATTCATCACATTACGTATGATCCAATCGAACAAATTACAACGATTACTTACTACTAATATCGATCATATTCACCCGGCTATTTGTATTTTATAATAACATTCCATTGGAAGGGAAAAGCATTATTTCTCTTACGTTTGTATGAAAAAAAAAAGAAAAAAAGAAAAAAAAAAATTTCGATTCAATTTCCAGAAAAATGTGTCAGCACATGGTGCAGCACGATGAAATAAAAGATTGCGTAAACATGTTCGCTTCGTCAAATAGAAAGCCAATGATCGCCGCACTTTGAAAGGAATATAAAGAATCTAAAAGGCAAATCTGACATATTTCAAGTTAAAATGCAACGTAATTGTTTAATTATCGCTAGTGTTACCGTAGTATAAATGTTACATTTACAATCCACTGACTCGAGTCAGGTCAAATTCTAATATTATTTAATATCTTATATTATTACTTTGTAATATTTATGTCATTACGTACAAAGCGCCGTAGATTAAAAAAAAAAATAATATATATATATATATATATATATATATATATATATATATATATATATATATATATATGGTTGATGTGATAAATATTATTCGCCATAGATGCATGAGAGAAGAGATAAGAGAAGGAAAAGCATGTGGAAATGACGGAATAAGCACAACAAGCGATATCGCGAGTAATTGATTTAACGATCGATCCTCGACGCGAATAAATAAGTAGCAGGATCACGGGGATTCTTTTATAGAAATAATAAGGTTTTGCAAGGAAGCGCGAGATGGATAAAAATGCTAACTAACCGGCTTAACGGAGAGAGGGAGAGACAGCGATAGAGAGCGGGCGGGCGAGTGAGAGGGAGTGATATGATAAGTGGTGGGGACTGGCGAATTAGGATGAAAGAAGGAGGAGGGACGTCAAAAGGAGAAAAGCGCTGGCACAGGACGTCGGCTTCTCTTCCATCCTAGATCGTCGAAGCGTCCCCTATTCTCCTCCTCAACCCCAATAACCCTCTCGTGGTCCCGCTCCCTCCTCGCCCCGGCCAACCCACGTACGGTCCTCGCACTCTATCGCCGTGTTTGCAAACCTCCATGTTTGCAGAGTTTTGATGGGCAGCGGCCGCGCCGCTACCACCGAACCGTGACGTCTCGGGGAACCGCGCGGAGCTCGGGCCTCTCAGCTTGGCTCAGCTCCTTAGTCTGTAGCAGCGCTGGTATGTAGTCGCTCTACGTGCATGCACATCGTACACGGTACATGAAGTGTACATAAAAGGGGCGCGTGCAAGTGCGCGACGACCGGACCTGCGCCCAAGTGACGTTTGCCGTTCGGCCGAGCCGCCCTCGAGAGTAGCCAGTGCAGCAGCACCTGAGCCACGCAGCCGCTTCAGCAGCACCATGGACGACCTCGGTGAGTCTTGCTTAATACATCTTCAACAACAACAACAACAACAAAAGAAAAAGAAAAGAAACTTGCGCTTATCCAGTGGCTCGAGGCTTTAACCTCAAAGTACTCGGCTGCTGTTACTGCTGCTGCTGTTGCTGTTGCTGTTGCTGTTGTGACGTGTGTCGTCGCTAGTCATCGTCATCGTCATCGTCATCGTCATCGTTGTCGTTGTCGTTGTCGTTGTCGTTGTCGTTGTCGTTGTCGTCGTTGTCGTCGTTGTCGTTGTCGTCGTTGTCATTGTCGTCGTTGTCATTGTCGTCGTCGTTGTCGTCGTCGTAGTCGTCGTCGTAGTCGTCGTCGTAGTCGTAGTCGTGGCTCTCCACTTCGACCTCGTCGTAGTCGTAGTCGTAGTCGTAGTCGTAGTCGTAGTCGTCGTCGTCGTCGTCGTAGTCGTCGTCGTCGTCGTCACGAGATAGAGAGAGCGAACGCGTATGTATACACAGACAGACGGCCGAGAGATACGTGCACATTATACGGATACCGGGCTAATTTCGATCTGGGTGCGTCACTCTTTTTTATGGGCAAACTGTTGTCGCAAACATTCATCTCGGAATTTGAGGTTAGCAATGCCTCTGCTGTCGTGCATTGTTTTGGTTAGGCCTTTAAGGCGGGTTCCTCCTCGGTCCAGGCCTGATGATTTTTCGTCCTTGCGCTTTATGGGCGTTACGCTCGCGTTGGGCTATGCTCTCGAGATGCATTATGGTCGCCGAGGAAGGGAGCCAGCGGAAACGTGAATTTCTCGGAAAGCGGTAATTGAGAGCGAAAGCGTATAAGAAGCGCAGCATCATAGACGAAACATCGCTACTTTATAATTCATAAGTTTGCACATTCTTCGGGGGCCGGCTTCGTACTTACTTTGGATGAATCCTTTTTCACTTCACACGGAAACACGAGAGAAATGAGATGAATATGATATCGTACGTGCGCGTAGTTCCCTTTTGCTCGTACTTTCCTTTTTTATCCATGTTTTTTTTTTTTTTGTTTTTGGAGCCCAGACTCTTGTGGGATTGACAGATTTCAATCGGCTATTAATTAATTAATAAATGGCCATTCAGGATCGCCCGGCGGCGATTCGTCTCAATAACAAAAGCACATGTCCCGCTGTGTCTTACACTTAATGCTCGCGTATACTTAAATTTTGCTTATAAACATAAAAATTACACGGCGTTAATTATCGCTTTTAATTCGTAAAGTTTTCTAATATATCTTTATGGACGTAATGATTTCCTTAGACGTTGCGTAACAGGCGAAGTAAGTGGGATTATTCAATAATAAACAGCGCGATAAAAACAGTCTTTCAATTATGATAATCGAGTGAGGAACGTGGAGTGAAATTCTCGTTACGAGGAAGAAGTAATAAAATTGATTCGCTAATGAAAGCTGCTGGTTTAGAGTATTGCGCGCGGTGAATTTTTGTATCACAAGTGATGGAGAATTCGTGGGCGGGCAGCGCTTACTGGTTGCTCTCGACTGGTTCAACTCGATCTTTTTCGGGATCGTCTAGGCTCTTTCCGATTGTCGAGACTGGTAAAAGAAGCTCCCTAGTGAATCTTTATGGGTGGCTATATCATTATAAATTTATGGCTTGGAATTTTAAAATCATAAAAGACGATTCGCCCGTTACAGTTACGGAGATACCCAAAGTAGATTTTATCGCTGTATGTTCGGTTGATTTTTTTTTTTTTTTTTTAACATTCGATATTATTAAAAGTGCATTTTAAATATATTTTACTGTTTACATATGATAAAATTGCAAAAGAAAAAACT